TGGCGGGTACATGCACCCTGGCAAATAAAAGAGAGAGACAGAGAGAGCTGTCTAGAGAAAGAAATAAGTCTATGGTCATTTAATTGAATTGATAACCATAATCTTTTAGTACATGTGTAAATCAATTCAATAAAGCAGCCAAAACTCTGCAGTCATTATCATTAGAGACCTCTCTGTCCTTTCCAATACTATCCAGCTCATTCTTACCTGCTGACTCACTCTGCATTCTTGGGCCACTCTCTAGACTTGCAAATTTTTTCCCAGTTTTGCTGAAGGGTGCAGCTTGCACGAGACAGAGAGGACAGAGGGGGAAAGTGAGAAATCACACCTCCAAGGGGTATGGCCATGCCATAATTCATTCTCCTCTTGGGATTTTTGGGCACACACACATATGGGCCCAGCATGATTTTCAAGCTGCTGGGTCTGGAACTTGAATCATGGAGTTGGCCATTTGGGATCCAGTCACTTTAACCTCCACACCACCTGCTGGTCCTAGACTTGCATTTTAAGTCTTGGGAGCAAGATTTTTATAAGTAGGGTACAAGGGGCTATCAAGCAGCATTAATTGGTATAATTTTTTGTTTGTTTTTGTTATAGGGCATGTACATGCACCAGGCAAGGACAGAGAGAGAGAGAGAAGGAAAGTGAGAAATTACCCCTGGGGGATGGCCATGCTGCAATTGCCCCTCCATTCTCCTCTAGGGATTTTGAGCACTCATGCACATGTGTCCTGTGTGATTTTCAAGCCATTGCTGGGGGTAGGACTCAAACTGTGCTGTTGGCCATGTGGAATCCAGTCATCTTAATCTCCACACCACTTGCTGGCCCTAAGTTGTGTTGTGTAACTTTTACAATGCAGATCTCTGATTCCTTCCTTCCCAGAACCAGTGAATCAAAACCTCTTAGGGAGTGAGTGTGTGCATGTTTGTGTGTGTGTATTTGTGCTTCAGGACATAAATAAGCTTTCTAGGTGCTCTTATATACATTAAAGGTGCCTAGAGTTTCCCTATTTCTCTATGTATTACAGATATTTTCAGCACACCCACATATATACACATGTATACAGTTTGACTTACTCATTATAGCTTTGTTTCATCCAAAAAAGAGCATTTTTCCTAGTAATTATGAGAAATTTTCACTATTTAAGCCATGAAGTTTAGAATGAATAAAAGAAAACCTATGTTTATCTTTATTTCAAAATAAAGCTCTTAAGCTTCTAAAACTTAAAACACTGGCTCTAAGCCTAGTCTTTTTTACTTTTAGTTTGCCAATTTTAGTATAATTTGTGGCTTTTCAGTTTTTCTCATTTTAGATAACTTCAGAAAGATGTACTGTATTGCATTTGAAACCCATCTTTATATTTTTCTTTTTAAAAATTTGCCAGAGGGCATATGTGCACCCTAATGAGAAAGAGGGAGAGGGAGAAAGTACCCCATCCCCCCATGTGGCATATCACACTGCCATTCCCTCTCCTCCATTTTCCCATCCTGAGAGGAATTTGGGCATGCACACACATGCATCTGCTATGTTTCTGAAGCCACCAGGTCCAACATGTGAACTCCATGGCCAGCCATCTGGGACTTAGCTCCCTTAACCACTAGGTCAGGAGGCTGGCCTTTGAAACACAACTTTTTTTTTTTTTTTAAGAATTATTTTATTTAATTTTATTTATGTTTTAATTTGACCAGAGAGGGACAGAGTGAGTGAAAGACAGGGAGAGGGAGAGAGTGAGAGAGCGAAGGAAAGAGGGAGAGAGAGGGAAAGTAAGAAAGCAAGTTGCCAGGTCTGGGACTTGAGCTAAGGTCTCCCATGTGGGAGTCCAGTGCCTTAACCAGCATGCCACCGGCTGCCCTGATACCAGTTTTCTATACAACATATGAAATAGCAAATATGTGCAACTAAACATCATATTAAGATCTTATTACTGTCAAATATGAACCCAAAAAGGATGCCAACCTTCAGTATATTCCTTGGTACCATCCAGAGGATCAACCCATACCACAAGCTAAAAAAAAAAAAAAAGAAAGAAATATCTTAATCAAACAAATGATATTCCAAAACTAGATTTGAATAAATTAAAACAATCTTGTTTTTCATTTCTGAAATTATATTATGGATGTATTAAGCTAGCATTATTTGTTTTATGATAGTAAAAAAAACCCTTAAATTTCACAATCATGGACAAAGTCATTTACATTGGAAACAAGTCTGACCTAAGAATTTTAAACAAGAAATGCTTAACTGACGAAAGTTTATTGTCACAGAAAACTAAGCACAATGCCATGAAAATATAGAGCTCTAGGCGGTAGTGAGGGAAAACTTTCAAAGTGACCCAATATGTTATCAACAATGTATAGTTGCTACTCATTTCTATATGTAAGTGCTGACTATTTCTTGAAAAATGAATCTTATTTTCTTAAGGACCATAGTTCGTATAAATGAAAGAAAAATGAATAGTTCATAAAACTAACAGTTTTTTTTTTTTAGAGAGTTAGTTTTTGGCTATAGGGCTTGTGCACTGAAGGTGAGAAATCATTCCACACCACAATCCCTTCTCTTTCATTTTCCTGTTGGAATTTTGAGTATGCATGCAAATGTATCCAGTGTGAGTTTTAAGCCACCGGGGCCAGGGCTTGAGCAGTGACTGACTACATGGGAGCACACCGATGTAACTTTATGCCATCTGCTGGTCCTGTAAAACTAACAGAATTTTTTTTTGAGGGGGAGAGAGGTTTTTGCTATAGGGCGCACGCACTCGCCAGAAAGAGAGAAGGAGACAGAAAGTGAGAAATCATCCCCCAGGGGGGATGGCCACGCCACAATCCCTTCTCTTCCATTCTCCTCTCAGGACCTTGGGCGGGCACACACGTGTGCCTGGCGTGAGTTTAAGTCACCGGGTCCGGGACTCCATGGTTGACTATGTGGGAGTCCAGCAACATAGCCATTACGCCATCTGCTGGTCCCAAACTAGCAGATTTTTAAAAATTCCTTCTGCTTAGACTTATACCTTGATTCAGGATTCTCTGCTTTTAACCACTACAATTACAAAGTTGGACATGATTTTGTGAATGAAGACATATTTCTGATGAGAGACATCATGTCTTTTCTTTGAACCCTTCATACACAGAGTAAAGAGCCCTATTCATAGTAAGTATTCAAATACTGTGTATTAAATGATTTTAAGTGAGAAAACTAAAGAAGTATAGTGATTAAAGTCAGATTTAACTTAAGAACTTTAAAAAGCCAGTAGGTGGGAACCAGCAGTTAGCCTAATGGCTATGTCGCTGGACTCCCACGTAGTTGACCGTCGCTTGCGTCCCGGACCCGGTGGCTTAAAACTCATGCTGGGCACGTGTGCATGCATGCCCAAGATCCCGAGAGGAGAATGGAGGAGAAGGGATTGCGGTGTGACCATCCCCTCTGGGGGGTGATTTCTCGCTTTCTGTCTCTATGTCTCTCTCTGTCTGTCTGGCGAGCGCACACGCCCTATAGCGAAAACCTCTCAAAAAAAAAAAAAAAAAAAAGAGCCAGTAGGACTTGAATATAGCCTTTGAAAAAATAAAAGGTAGCAACCTGTTTAATCTTTTTTCCAGCCTCAATTACTAATGAAATGTTTTACTACCAAATCTATTAAATAATAAATTAGATTTTCTTCTTAAAAGTATTTTAAATGATGTCTGTGGAGTGGAAAGGAAACCATCAAGCTAAAAAACTGAACTCTAAATTAACAGGTCAAATATTCTATATGGTTGCCTGACAGTTCCATAATAGCTCGAAAGATTACAAGTTCCTGGTTGCACCTATTTTATGACAACTAAGTTTTCATCTTCGAGGCGTATTTCATTTCTTTACTATGGCAACCAAGCACAGACAGGCTGACTGAGAGTTAAGTGTGATACGGATCCTACGTCTTCCTCTTTAATAGTGCTGTACTGTGATGGGCACGGCTGCTTCAGTATTTCCTCCCACTGCCCGTCTTCAATCAGCTCTTGATCCACTTCCTCAGTAGGCAGGTCCTAAAGCAGAGATAACGGTCATGGTTACTGAAGCTGTTCAGTGTTTACAGAGCACACTTTGCCACAGAAGAAACGCACCATCATAGTTTTCACTGGTCTTTTCTATTTACCATTTAAGCTTACAGCTTTTAAAGCAAACTTCATAAAATTACAAAACCAACCATGGATGGCTCACCAAAGTTGATGAAAGGTTCCTAGTTCATTATCATGAATGGGATTAGAAAATAAAAGTTTTTCTTTTTTTTTTTTAAGATATTTTTGCCAAAGGATGCATGCACTTACTAG